CGCAAAAAAAGAAAAAGATGTGTTGACATGCTGCTTAACCCTCTGGAAAGAAATCACTGAAATTACATTATTTATCAGTCAGAAATCATAAAAACAGAAAGAAGTGTTGGATTTTTATCTTTCTGCCAGTTCTTGAACTACTTCTGTGTGACATGCTGATTCATTGGAAAAGTGGCCAAATCTAAGCTCAAACTCAGAGGCCATTTTTTGACGGAGCTCGCATGAACTGCAGGCCGTGTTAGAGACCGAGCAGACCAGCAAGGCAGCACATTTAAAATCTAAGCAGTAACATATCTGTAGTATGTAGACTGTCTATTTTTTTCCAGCATTATTAACACCTACGACCAACCCAGAAAATGATCTATATGTTAATTCTATGTTTTAAAAATTGTTATGCAATAGATGATCACAGAAATTCAACTCATGCTTATTTTTGTTTTAGCATTTGCAGCATCATACCTTTTGTTATACTGCACATTTTTTTTGAGTTCTCTGTATTTCTAGATTAGATAGAGGAGATACAGTTCTCACACTGCTGGGTAAAAACGTGACAACAATCAAGCTTTTTATCAGCATTTTTATTTTTTTTTTCAAACAAGGTTTTATTGTCATGCATGTTCCTACCACTGTGCCATAGATGGCCAGAGAGCCGTTGTCCAGCTGACGGATCCTGTTGCTGATCAGGATATTTATTCCGTTTTTGCTCCATCGGATGGTGGGCAGCGGGTCTCCTCGTACCTCACAGTTCAGGATGGCGTTACCACCCAGAGGTTCGATACGGTTGGAGTGAAGGTCTCCATCAATGATAGGAGGCTCTGGAGAACAGACACACAGGAACTAAATCAGAGCTGTTGGCCTGATGTTAGACACAAGTCATTTAATTGCAAGTTGTGAGCAGCAGGTATGAGACGTTTCATGGGGAGTGTGGTTTCACCTTTAACATAGACGAAGCCCAGTGACTTGATGGTTCCTAAGCTGTTTTCAGCTACGCAGGTGTAGGTGCCGGAGTCGTCTTTGCTCACTCTCTCTATCACCAGCTCACTGTGACCGTTCATGTGATCGTAGTGAACTAAAGCATCAGCAGCAGTCAGAGAAAGACAAAACACAGTGAAAAATACTATTACACTGCAATACATTGAAAAAAACTGTTAAAAACTGACTACCCTTGAGTTTACTTCCTAATCAGTCATACCTGGGATGACGTTGTTGTTGAAGGCCCATGTGATTCTGGGCAGCGGGATGCCACTGACCCCACAGGCCAGCAGGAGGCGCTCTCCCTTGTTGAGGGCAACATCTCCGAGCAGCTCAGTGAAGATGGGGTGAGTGTGAACCGACAGACTCACCGTCCAGCTGTCCTGCCCCACCGAGTTAGTGGCAACGCAGGTGTAGCTGCCTGCATCCTCGGGCTGGTGCAGACAGGTGAGGAGGGGGCGGGGCAACAGGAGACAGGGAGGAACAAGAAGGTTTTCAAATGCTTCTTTTTGACAGAAGACAAACTGACTTGTAAACCATCTACAACATAAGGATGCAACTAGAATTACACTACGACTTATTAAACTACTTTCTTTACCTGAGTGATGTCAATAACGAGCTCCCCAGAGGGCAGGATGGTGTACTCTCCCGCACTGTCAGTCAGTGGATTGCCATCTTTTTCCCAGGACAGCGTGGGCTGAGGGACGCCGTCGGCCAAACACACCAGCTGGGTCTGACTGTTTTCCACCACCGCAACCTCCTGCTCTCCACCACGGATGGAGGGAGGAACTGAAACGGTAAAAGAGGATTTTAAAAACATCACTATGGTCACTCTAGAAGTATTTTTTTATTCATTACTTCTCCAGCATTAGTAGAGTTATCCTTATATGTGTAAGTAGCATCCTGTGAATAATGAAAATGCTGCACAATCAGAACTGGAAGAGGCAGTGTTGTTCTGGCACAAATGAGGTTTTCTTGCAACTATTAATGGAAAAATTTTAAGATCTTATGAGAAATGTGGTTTCAAAACATCCCGAAATCAAGGCATCAGTGTGATTAATTTCACAATGAGCTACACCGTTTTTTAAACTTGCTGTTTTATAGTGTGTCATTTCAAAATCATCTACGAGTGAGACACCACATAAAGATGAACTTAAACCCAACAACAGTAATCGTATTTACTGGTACCCACTCTGGACAGTCAGGCTCATCTCCAGGCTGACCGTTCCCGCTGCGTTGGCAGCAGTGCAGGTGTATCGTCCAGCATCGCTGGGCTGAATGAAGGCCATCTGCAGGGATCCTGAACTGAGGACCCGCCGACGGACGGATTCACTCAGCTGCTGCCCGTCTTTATGCCATGTGACGGAGGGGGGAGGGGAGCCTTCAGCCTGGCACTGCAGCGTCACGGAGGAGTCCACGGGTGCCAGGTATCTCTGAGTCTCTGAGCTGATCGCCGGAGGGACTGCAGGACACAGCGAAGTGTTGTAAATGCATTTAGTGTGTTTGTTGAGATCAGTATCAAACATGATTTTAGGTGACGGAAGGAAAGGTAGGTTGTCACGTGCAACTCCATCCATCCATCATCTCTACACCTTAATCCTCACTAGGGTCATGGGGGGCGGAGTCTATCCCAGCTGACTCAGGGTGAAGGCAGGTTCACCTGGACAGGTAACCAGTCTATCACAGGGCTACACTTAGAGACAGACAACCAAGCACACTCACATTCATACCTACAGACAATTTACAATCACCAATTAACCTCAGCATGTTTCTGGACTGTGGGAGGAAGTGGAGTACAAAGAACAGCTGCTTCCAGAATATACTGCAGTAGAAGCAAACAGCTGAATAACATGGAAACACTTAAATGAAATGAAAGTACATCAAAAGTGCTCTTCAGCACAAGTATTTATTTAAATTCAGCCACAGCTAATCACGTGACCGTTACCTACCTTGTACTCTGAGTTTGGTTTTGCCCAGCGCAGTGCCTGCAGGGTTCTGGGCCACACAAATGTACGTTCCAGAGTCTGACAAAGAGGCCTTGGAGATCTGCAGACTTCCATTAGGTAGCACCGTGAAGCTACCACCTAGCATGAAGCAAGAGACACGGTGTCATGACTGAATACTTATGATACCTGCACACACATTGGCAGGATTCATTACCTGTGGTGAGTATGTTGATGCCCTCCTTCTGCCAGGTGATGGTGGGTCTGGGGGAGCCTGTGGCCCTGCAGGGCAGAGTGGTGGGGTTGTTGAGGATCACATCCAGGGTGGATGGATGAGACTGGATCACTGGGAGCTCTGAGGAGAAGGATGGGATAAAGAAAGAAGCTCAGAAAGATCGAAAACAAAAGAACTAAATAGCAAATTAAAAGCACATCAGGGCCACGCAGCAGTTCTACGTTACTGTAAAATTCACACATTGAAGGATTTTTTACTGATCGTGAATCAGTCAACATCTCTTTATGTATTATCTGTTTTCTGATTGGTTTAATGTGTGCGCCGGCCTCCCTGCTGTGTCATCTGTGTCAAAATAAGATCTGTTAAGTTTTCATATAGACCCAGACAGCCCTGCACACACAAACAGATCTGATTTGAACTTACTGCAGTTAATTAGAAAAGCTATTTTTTTCTGAACATAAAAATCAAACAAGTCTGTCAGTCAAACTGCACAGCTATAATATGAGGACTAAGCAACTAGGTCTTGAACATTGAATCTCTTTTTGCAGTTTGAACAGCCCTCAAACAGCAGCGTGTCTCTTGATGAATGAATTGTTTTTACCCTGCACTGTGAGCTGCACGTGGCGGTGGGTGGAGCCTGCAGCGTTCCTCGCCGTGCACGAGTAGCGTCCAGAATGAGTGAGCTCGGCTGACGTGATCTCTACTGGACCTGAGTGTACATCGACATACAGAGATTAAACACACACAAATTAAGTCCTTGTTGACCTGCTATCTCATTTTGTATAAGCTACCTGACACATTTATCACCTGACAAACTCTTCTCCTACATTTCATTTTGTCTTATCCAGAGTAGCCGCACATTTATAAGAAAATTACAAGAACATAAATGCTTTATTCTGCCTATGATGCATGAATATTTGGAGATATAAGGAACTCTTGTGTACTTATTTACATGGACATGACTCTGACCTGTTGGCAGGATGCTGTATCCAGGTCCTGTTTGATGGAGCTTCATGCCATCTTTGCTCCAGTGGATTGTGGGCTCAGGGACACCAGACGCAGTACAAGCAATGACCACCGGGGACAGTCTGGTTACAACCAGCTCTGTGGGTTCATCTGCTATAGATGGAGGAACTAGTGGGACAGACACGGTAAAAACAGTTAAAACATTTAAAACAAGCTGTGAAGATATTTGAAATTTTCATCGATGAATCAGCTGTTAAATATCAGGAAATTAGGTCACTCCACGAAGCAATATCAATAAACATCATGAACAAGAGTGACCGATCTGTAAACAAATACAGTGCTGTGTACCGTGGACAGTGAGATTGACAGATCTGGAGTCTTCTCCTGCCTCATTAGAGACCACACACTCGTACACTGCAGTGTCCTCCACTGTGGGCGCGATAACGACCAGAGAGCCTGACGACAGTAATCTGGAAATGGTGTAAAGAAGTTCAGTTAGTATTGGTAAGTATTTTTACTAAATGTTGTACTGCCTAAAACATGTAGAGATTGGATAAGATCACATGGTAATGAGAAATAATAGAACACAACTGCTCTGGTAATATAAAGATGCTATACGAGGTGAGTCAGAAAAGTTCCAGGACTGGTGTCACAAAAGACATATTTCAAACCCAAACTACAAACTACCAGTTTTCCCCTTCAGACGATCAACCAGCACGTCTACAAAGAGATCCTGCAGCGTTTGCTTCGTTCAGAGTTGTGTCAGGACCAGTGGAGGCTGCTTCACCATGACAACCTGCTCACAGCGCCCTGAGCATCCCACAGCTCTTGCTGAGAAGAACATCTCTGTGCTGGAGCAACCTCCCTACTCACCCCACCTGGCTCCGTGGGGTTGGTTCCTCTTCCCCAAGCTCAAGGGGGTCATCAAGGAGACCCGTTTAGAAGACGTGGACGACATCAAGATGGCTGTGAGGACGGAGCTGAGAGGATCCTGGAAGAATCCTTCCAGGAGTGCATGGCGGCGTGAAGAGAAGGCTGGAGGAGGGTGGTAGACTCCAGGGGGATTACGTGGAAGGAGAAAACTGGTAGTTTGTAGTTTGGATTTGAAATATATCTTTTGCGACTCCAGTCCTGGGACTTTTCTGACACACCTTGTACATTTGAATCTCCAGCTTTGACTTTTCAACAACAACATGAGGTTGTAAAGGTGTTAAATTAGAAAAGAGAGGGAGAAAACCTGGATCAACCTGTACATATTCTGGTTCTGGTCAGTATTGATGGTTCGACCATTCTTTCTCCAGCTCACAGTGGGTTTGGGTATGCCGGTGGCCTCACAGGACAGGGTGGTCTGAACGTTGACTATAACCGTCACATTGGTGCGACTGTCAGCGATGGAAGGAGGCACTAAAACATGAGAAGCAGAGATGGTGAAGTAATCCTGTCACAGTGGTTTTTTGTGTGATTTATAGCGTTTGTGCGTATTTGCCACCCACCATATACTTGCAGATCTACTCTCTTGCGTTGCGTCCCAGCCTGATTTGTTGCCATACACAGGTAGCGACCAGTGTCGGTCACCTGGGCAGAGTGAATGCGTAAAGAGCCGTCCTCTGCAAACGTGTACCTGCACACATGTTCACAAGCAGAGTGAAATGCTGAATCTGGCGTTATGCAATGGACGTAAAATAACGTTAAACAGTGGCATAAGACAACGGCATCACTGTTGCATGTTGAGTGCTTTACCTGGGATTGTTTCCCGCCAATACTGCACCGTGTTTCCTCCAGGTGACCCGAGGTGGTGGGACTCCACTCACCACACATTCAAGCACTGCTGGCTTGTTGATGTGCACTGACACCGCCTGGGAGCCATCTTTTATAGTCGGGGCCACTGAGGGGACAGATTGACAGACTGTTTTATTTTGTCTTGTTTGAGGATGAATTAAACTCTACAACTAATTAGGATGGGAATTATACAAATAATAAGTTATTTTAAGTTCAGCAAGGAGGTGTATTTAATCTATAGTTGTCCCAGCTGTAGATATAAGATGTAGAAGTGAGTAGAGCCTGACCGGTACTACATTTTTGCATCAATGCCAATACAAGTTTTAAATTTTCCAATATTGATATATCTTTATATATCCTTTATTTACATGTACAGAGTATTACTGACAAAGTCAAATGATGAGGTCATTGTTTATTAATTGTCCATCAATATATTTTACAAACTAGTTAGCAGTTCACTGTGATGACACCACGTAGCTCCGCACCACCTGCCTATGATACATACTCTGCTACATGTGCTGCACACAGCACTAAAGAACGAAGTCAGAGCTGCTCTGCTGGACAAACTGCATGACACCATTTCTAAATTATGTTCTGCATCATGTTCTGTACAACGAAAACTTTTCACAACTGTCAGATCAGTCAACAGATGTGCTGACGCTGATGCATCTGTGACGGGCTGATAGTGTACGATAACATCAGCCAGTCAAAAAATAGATGTAAGTAATGCAACCGTACCGTTGACGGCCAGGTTGAACTGGCGCGTGGTCTTGCCGGCGACGTTACTCGCCACACAGGTGTACTGAGCTGTGTCGCTGAGCTCTGCCATGTTGATCTGTAAGTATCGGCCACCAGACAGAACACGCACTCGAGCTGAGGCCTACGCAAAGGGAAAAAAACAAATCAATTACAAACATATGCTGGGAGTTATCATAGCATTGGGTTGTTGGTTTCTTTGTTAGATTTCTGACCTGCAGCGGTTGTCCGTCTTTGAGCCAGGTCACAGTCGGAGGTGGAACAGCATCAGACCTACACTCCAGAGTCGCCTGTCTGCTCTGCAGCACCGACACATCCTGAGGTGAGCTCTCTCCCGCAATGTTCGGGGGAACTGAGAGGTGTGAGCAGAGAGAGGAACTGACGTGAATTTTCTCATTTTTACAAACTTAATTCATCAAGTATGTGAACACGCATGACAAAGGAAGCTTGTTACGTAAATAAATAACTATGGAGTAGTTTTTGTACTTTTAATATCAGTAAACTGTTTGTACCCAAAGCAGAGAGCGATTCGTCTAAATTATATATCTTGCACATCGTTCATATATCTCCGTTACCCACCATGCACTCGAACCAGGAACTCCTTATCATCATCTCCTGCCGGACTGTTGGCCAAGCAGCTGTATCTGCCTGTGTCCTCCAACTGAGAGTGAAAAAGTGTGAGCAAACGTGACAACAGTGAAAGAAGACAAGACACATTTATGTAAACATTTACAGCATGGAATGGAAGTATGGCGTCAATGTTTTACAGGAAAACATGTGAGTATAAGATAAAGGCATTCACTGACCTGTGCCGAGGCCACACGGAGCACCTCTCCTCCCCGGAGGAGGCGCAGGCTGTCCGTCTGTGGAAGTGGGCGTCCGTCCTTCAGCCAGGTCAGTGAGGGTGTCGGGATGCCTGTGGCCTCACACTGGAGCTCCAGGACATTATTAACCACCACAGACACTTCTGCCGGCACACCAGAGCCCTCGATGCGTGGAGGATCTGAGAAAATTAATTAAAAAGGTGTTTCTCTTCCATGAGTTAAAAGCTGAAGCTAGATAAAAAAAGAGCAACAATCTGCTTTCACTCACCCAGAACTTTCATGTTGAAGTGACGGCTGGCTTGACCAGCAGTGTTGTTGGCCATGCAGGTGTAGCGTCCTGTGTCGTTGACTCGGGCCTGGGGAATCTGTAGGGTGGTATTCAGGTTGAGGAGAACGAGGTGGCCGTCAGGGACGAGTGTCGCTCCGTCTTTGAACCAGGAAACGATGGGAGTTGGAGTCCCATCAGCGACACACAGCAGAGACGCCAAGTTTCCTCTGACCACGGTCACGTCCTCCGTGCTGCCTGCTCCATCCAGGCTGGGAGGGACTGAGGAAGGTCATTTACAAACCGTTAGCCTTTGACTGAGGATATCTGAATAAACATGAGAACTGTACTAGTATCTGATTACTACTTTTTGCACTTTTCAGACTCACCGTGCACCTGCAGGTTATAATGTCTGTTGTCCACTCCTGCCCTGTTTGATGCGACACAGGTGTAACTTCCACCGTCAGACACCTGGATTCGTGAAATCCTGACAGAGTAAAAGGTACAATGTGTAAATATCTCAATACGGTTTAACTTGTTGGGATTCGCGTCGTGTGCTTTTATTTTGGTTGTTGAACTTCCTGTGTTTTTTAGTTTTGCTGTGCTTTGCACTTTCAGGCTGGGCGGGGCCACGGTTGAGGAGGACTTGCTCGATCTTTACCCACCACACCTGCCCCGCATCATAATCAGCGCTGCTTTTGAACTGGCTGCTCCCCGTGATGCGGTGCCAGAGGACTAACTCTTAGATCGGCCACGTTTAACGTCCAGTTCTCATGTTTTTTGTTTGTCAGTTCTATGCTGACATTTTTGGTGTCTGCATCCTCTCCTGAGCCTCCTCGACCTGATGACTCTCCTGCCTAGCCTTTTCAAGGCAACCACCACCATCTACAGGTTTCCCTCAGCTGGATCCCAGCCATCAAGAGATCCCTCTCCCCGGAACAAGGATTCCCTCCCCCGAGCACTGGAGCGCTCTGCTGGAGCACCTTAAAGTCCTCTCACCTCTCCCCACGAGCTCCAGCGTGCACCGGCACTTCCCCCTCCTGCTTCCTTAGTGTCCTCACTCCTTCTCCCGATTAAACACCCTCTTTTACACCCCACCTCCCTTGTCGCATTAATTGGGTCCACTTCCAGTAAATTAGGAGCATCTCCTAACATAACTCTCACTAAAGATGTATAATATCGAACCAAAAAGGTAAAGTTTAGTGAAGTGAAGTCGATGTTTTTTTGGCAACCTTCATCTCTAAATGTGAAACCTTTAACCTGTTGTTATTTTAGTGCTTTTAGATGCTCTCTATTTACCAGCCTCCCCTCTGGGACACTCAGGGTCATGAGAGCCTGAAGAGACTGCTGCAGGAACCATGATGCTCCCAGTTTACGGATTCATTCTAACAAATGCTCTTTTGCACTTTTAATAGAGAATTTATTTTATCATTTGTATGACCGTTGAACGTTTCTTTCTTAGAACTGTGACCATATTAGCTGCTACAAAGATGACGCCAAATGAAATGTTGTGTTTGTGTACAATGACAATAAAGCTTCTTCTTTATCTCCCAAACAGCACACAAGCAGCCCAGCAGAACACTTTGTAAAGAAACCTCTTGTGAAAAAATGTAAATAAATGAGGGACACTGAGATAAAGATATGCTAAGATGTCTTGGCAGATCGTATCTTACTTATTTTACACAACGAACAAATCCAACAGCGTTCACCTCTAATCACCATGTTCATATTTAAAAATCAGAAAACCACGTGACCGTCCTCCTGGTGTGCCCTGTCCACTGACCTACCGGAGCACCTGTCCCGCAGAGAGGAGTCGGATGTGGGAGGAAACTGGCAGCGGGAGGCCATTTCTCAGCCAGTTGAGCTGAGGCAGAGGAGAGCCGGTAGCAACGCACTCGATGTTGACAGAACTGTCCAGAACCGTGATCAGTTCCTCGACGGTCCCTCTGTTGCCGTCTATCGCAGGAGGCACTGGGGCAGCAAACAGACACTCAGGTCATGAATGAAAAAACAACGGGTGGTTCAAACTGTTTTCAGTGAGTGATGCACAGAGTATGTATTTAATAAATGCGTTAGACCCACCGTAGACGTTCAGATTAAATATCCTGTCCTCCTCTCCTGCAGCATTGGTGGCCACGCAGGTGTATTTGCCGCTGTCGGTGGTGTGAGCTCCAGTCACGGTGAGCCTGCTGCCATCTGGACTGATCCTGAACATAAAGACAGCAAACGTCCTTTAACAATAAACAAGAAACCTTTTATAGCAGACATAGTGTGTGTTTTCTCTCTTCCATGATCAATGTCCCATTTCTGAAGGCTTCCACGTGACTGTGAGAGTATCAGGTGCTTATTTGGATAAATTACCTTCTTCTGTCTTTCTAATACTGACTCCAACCTTTGATTCAATGGCTCAGTGAGAAATATTTCCTATGAATGCATCTGGATTTCGTTGGTGTATTTTGGTGGCAGGCACAACGATACCTGAGCCCTTTGCTTTCCACACTGGTGATGACTTCCCCGTCCTTCAGCCACTGGATGCTTGGAGTCGGGGTTCCCTGAGCCCGACAGATGAGCTGGATGCTTTCATTGAGCAGGACTCCCATGTCACTGGGCATCTCTGATCCAGAGATACTGGGAGGGACTAAGAGAGAATTACTGGTGTTAGCAGCGATCCAGTTAGCAACTTTAAGAGAGAAAATACAGTAAGTCAACATGCAAACTGCCATGCTGCATAAATAGGAAAAAATATAAACACAGTAGACGCATGATAACAATATGACAACTTGTCTAAGTAAGCCTGAAGAACACAATTCTCTCTAAAGCCAGGTGGTTTCTTCCTTTTGCAAACAAGTGAAGCTACAAACGTGTACCTTGTATGGTGAGGTGGTAGCTCTTGTGTGCTTTGCCCTCCACATTGGAGGCCACACACGTGTACGTTCCGCTGTCAGAAAGCTGCGACCGTGCAATCTGCAGTTTGCTACCTCCTGAGAAGATGTGCATCTCCAGAGACTCTGAGTTCTCTAAAGGAAACATGAAGTTCATTTGTTTGTTAGAAATAAACTGAACAAAGCCACTGTACCTAGTTGTGTAATTTTACCCCTTTCCTGAACCATGTACACTCGTGTTTTTGTGGCTTTGGTGGCAGGCTGTACACAGGCTTTACCTATTGGACGCCCATTTTTCAGCCAAGTGAGACTGGGTGGAGGGATTCCAGTAGCATCGCAGGCAAACGTGACCGGATTGCTGATGGTTTCCAAAACGCTCTCCTCTGCTGGGCCATCGATGCCAGGAGGAACTGAAGAGAGACAAAGACAGACATGGTGTCTCTTAAATATTGTTCTGCAAGAATTAATTATTGTTTCAAACTATGAGTTCCCTAAATGTTTAATAATTATTATTTAGAATATCCTACCGTAGATGTTCAAGTGGAAGTTCTTGTCCACTTGTCCAGCCACATTGGTGGCCATGCAAACATACTGTCCGGTATCAGACACCTGAAGAAGAAAGGAAGAAAAACACAATACAAACAAAAACATTAAAAACAAAATGGACTATCAGGTTGTCACTTAATGTAACCTTCTGCCTGAAGTTTTTCTTTTTTAATCTTTCACTTCCTTGGGTTGGAAGGTAGTTGGGGCTTTGGCTGAAGCAACTATGACCTTATCTAAAGATGGACGAACCCTCCAAGAGTCACACATTTGTTTTCTGTGGAGCAGTTTTGAGCCTCAGTGCGTCTCAGTGTGACTCTGTTTAACTACCAGCTGATCTAAAAATAAGCAGAGGTGACGCATAACAGGAGCTAAGGTGAGCCGTGGAAACATCTCTGGACCATGGCTGTGATATGACATCACCCACCTGTCAAAAAGTGTCCACAATCTTAATTGTGTATAACTCTAAGCCTTTATTCAATTTAAATAGTTGAGTTATGCAAAGATTCACCCAGGTACAGTTGTCATTATTAGAAAAATTAGCTATAGAGGCCTTTTTTTTTTTGTTTTTTGCACTAGGCTGTGACCATGTGTAAAACTGGACATTCTAACATGAGGCTCTATGGGGACTGACTCACTTTTGGAGCCTCTTCAAGTGGCCACCTGAGACCTTTTTTGCACTTTGGCCTTGACGGCATTTTTTAGCCCCAGAGGCTGCTGCAATAAAAAAGATCTTCTCTCCCAAAAACTTTAATCAACACAAAAAAACAAAGAAAAGACAAATGACGACTGAAAATATAAATTAAAAAGAAGAATGGTAGAAAACAAGGACCAGACGGCACAGCATCCATTCATCCGTCACCTCTGAGCCTTTGATCTGGAGGAGCCGTCCCTCTGCCAGGATGTGCAGGTTGGCTGATTCGGTCACCACTCTGCCGTTCTTGTACCAGGTGATGGTTGGAGGAGGCACAGCATTGGATTCACACTCCAGAGTCACCGATTTCCCGACAAGGACGTTCACCACCACAGGAGAGTCCCCGCTGTTGTCCCGGATGCTGGGAGGAACTGCGAGAGGGGGAACATGTACTGTCAGTTTATTCTGAAAAACAAGGGAAAAAAATCAGGATAGCAGTATATGATACCAACAGTGCAGGTGTGGACTGACCGAACACGGTGAGATAGATGTGTTTATAAGCCTCTCCTGCTGCATTCATGGCCACACAGCTGTACTTCCCTCCATCTGAAACTTTTGCTTTTAGAATCTGCAAAGTACGTCCACCTGAAGACACAAACACAGACACATTCATGTTATTTTACCGTTAGCTCTTGATCTTGCTAATTTTTTAAGGCATGCTAATATCTAGCTTCCTTTTAAAAAACCAATGTGGCTTCACTTTTAACCATTTTTCCCTAAATGCAGATCTTTGTTTTGTAGTGTGAGCCTGTGGGACGAGATAATTCCTCTCGGCACCTGGCATGATGAGTGCATTGGTGTTGGCCAGAATGGGTCCCCTGTCATTTAACCAGCTCAGCGTGGGAGGAGGGAAACCAGTAGCTTCACAAGAAAGAGACACGAAGTTGTTCACCACCACTGTCACATTCTCAGGACTCAGGCCGATGATGGTGGGAGGTACTGGAAGGAAGAAAAGAAACAAGCAGTGATCTTAAGTACAGAAAAACAAAAATGTGTTCGGCATTCCCTTGACAGTTAATTCACAGGAAAAGGTAAATCCTCACCATGAACATTGAGATTAAAGGATTTTTCTGCACTTCCAGCCACGTTGTCGGCCACACACACGTAGCGCCCGGTGTCAGACACCTGGGCAGTCAACACCTGGTGGAGAGAATAACAAGAATACAGAAATACAGTACATTACACATTATGATGGTGAGACATTAAGAATAGTTCAGCAATGTTGGAATTACATTTCATGTTCACAGCTCGGTTGTAAAGTTAAATATTTGAAACATAAAATATTCATAAATGCAAAATGCAATCAGTGGACCTTGTCTCAACAAAAATCAAACTCTGTAGATGTTATGATTGGTAGGGTACGGGGGTGGATGTTTGTGGAGAGAATGGACTGTGAATCAGTGAATAAAAAAATGTGTGAACTATTTTTTCACTGTGCTGCTTTACGTATGTATGATTTGATGCAGAAATCGTAATATTCGTGGTACATTTCATCTTAAAATTGGTACTTCAACATAAGTTCTGTTTCTTTGAGTTACAGTTATTACATCTGCAAGTTTTGGGTCTACACCGTGGTAGACGTGGTAAACAGGCAGCTTGTCGGGTGAAACTATCCTGGAATTTGGGATGCATTTTAATACCCGTACCATTCTACTACACAGCAGTAATGATATACTCCAATGCATAGTATGTCAAATCCAGTACAGAAAAAATACCAGCATGTCCAACTGTATCTGGTCTTGTGTTGCGGCGTGCAAGCCCTCGTGCTTTTCTGGCCATTCTGACCCACAATCCTCAGATGTTGGCGATGATGTATCACGTACATCACTGTGTCTCACTCTAATAACAATCCTGAGTCACAGTGACTCACTAAAACGTAGTTTATGAGCGACACGGCCAAATCTTACGGTGCATTATTATGAAAAATTGGTATACATGTGCAAAAGTAATGAGTGAGGGGAGAAAAGTTTGTGATTTCAAATGCAGGACTAATCTGTTTGAGTTTCCTGGTTGTTACCTGAAGAGTTCGCCCATTGGTCAGAATTCTGTGTGGACCATTAGAGCTGATGAGCTGGCTGTCTTTAAACCAGGTGATCTTGGGGGCGGGATTTCCATCCACATGACAGTCCAGTTGGGTGGTTTTGTTCACCAGGACTGTGACTTCATCAGGCAAGTCGCTGTCTGTTCCCCGTATGGTCGGAGGTACTGATTTGAGACAGATGTACGCCATTTAAAAAGCCTCCTTCTTCTAACTTTTGCACCACAAAAAAAGTGTTTTTACTCACATAACACTCTAACATCATACTGGATGGAGTCTTCTCCTGCTTCGTTGACAGCCACACATGTGTACCTGCCCGAGTCCTCAGCCTGGGCCCTGGGTATCTGTAACACTCGCCCACCTGAGAATAAACAAGAATAACACAGTGAAAGGTGGTAAAACTTTAATTATCTCGTATGTGCCTACTTTCTTTGTCTGTCTCACCTGGCAGGATCAGAACTTTGTCGTTAGAGGTTAGCAGCTGTCCATCTTTATACCAGGTGAGCGTCGGAGGAGGGACGGCGTTGGTCTCACAGTACAGAGAGACGGGATTGTTCAGTATCACATCCCGAACATCTCCTCCGAAGCCCGGAGGAGACGTGGTATCACCGTCTCCACCAGGCCTGTTGAAATTAGGTGGGACTGAAAAGAGGGGAAAACAGAGGAAACATATTTAAACTCAACTTTTTTTGGAGCATTTCTGTGCGGTTGAAAACATAATTTAGTGAATGACTCTGCGTTTATCTCAGACGTGTGTGCAGTTATTTACAATAGTCACAGTTGTCACATCAGTCAACCCAGTTCACCTTGTATATTTACATCAAAGTCCTTCTCATCCTCTCCAGCTATGTTGGTTGCTATGCAGGTGTAGCGGCCGGTGTCGGACACCTGAGCGTGTTTGATCTGAACGATACGACCGTTGGCTGTGATGGACACGTGGTGGTCTGTCCGCAGGATCTGTGGGGAAGATGTATCAGAAAAAAATAAGACTTTTTTTGCTTTTTTTCATTGAAAAATGTCTTAGAGATGTAAAAACTTTATTTTAAAAAAAGCCACGTATTTTGAGCTGCCACCTGTCCATCCTTGTACCACTGCAGAGCTGGAGTAGGAAACGCCTGAGCAACACACTCCAGGGTCAGGGTGCTGTTGATCTTGATCTTCACCTCTTTAGGAGCCAGTCCTTCTCCAGGGATGTCATTCTTATTAATCTGTGGAGGAACTGGAGTCAAAAAACATATTTAAAGTTAACACAATGCCATATTTAGGTGTGTTTCTGTGGTCATATT